TCTAATGCCACCTCTCATGGCTGTTATTCTAACAGCCACTAGGTGAACTTCCTGGACTTGTCCTGCAAAGACTGCATATCTGCCCCAGAGCTCCTTCTGCCTATTTTATGGATTATATTGGCTGTGGAATGAGGGGGTTAACAATGGAGACCCAGGTGGGGTAATAACCTCTCTCATTATTGATCCAGTAAAACCCAAAGCAGGTAGAAGGGGCCCTAGTGTGTGAGTTTATCCATAACGGGGGATTTATATTTAATGAACATGCACTATATATGTATGTTTTCTTTTTCAATGACAATTGTGCATATGGATTGACAAATTAATTTAAACATGAGTGTGTTTGGTTTTAGGACTGATAATTTAAAATAAATTAATTCCCCAAGGATTATACTTTATATGCACATTCTACTTCATATCTCTAGATTGTAAACTCGTTTAAGCAGCTATAGTATCTCATCAATTTGGTGTTTCTGTAACATTTAGTAATTGTCTCAATTATTGTTAAATCTCCCCCTTCTAATATTGTAAAGCTCTGCGGAATACGTTGGTGCCTTATAAATGTCAATAATAATATTACTATTATTATTTTTTTATTATTCATTTTTTTTTCTCTGCATCGGAGTAGAAGAGTACAAACAAGCTTGCCATGCTACAATAACAGGCACATAGAAAATCATTTTTTTTTTATAGCACATGAATTTGTTTATGAACTATCTTACATTCTTTGCCTACAGCTTTTTAATTTGGGAATTTAGTCAAATGAAGTGTTCTTTGCAAGTAATGTTAGAATATTTGGATTTTATAAATGATGTGCTAATGCTTCTAGGCATGTATTAAATACAATTTTCTTCTTTTTCCGAAAGTAACCTTTCTTCTTAGACAGAATGGTTTTAACTTGTGGGATTTTTTTTTAAAGGTAATAATAAATGTATTTGTCTAATGTTAAAAATAGTAAACGTATCCTTATGTAGTAATTAGTCTAAACCAGATTTGCTGCAATAATATTTCAGTGCAACTTTTGCAAAATAAACAACAACAAAAAAGAGTAATAATTGTTATTACTAAATTAATCACCCTTTTAAGGAAACAAACCATTTTCAACTTAACTATAAATTGGAGACTCAGCAAATTACAGTTGCAAGAAAAAGTATGTGAACCCTTTGGAATGATATAGATTTCTGCACAAATTGGTCATAAAATGTGATCTGCTCATCATCTAAGTCACAACAATAGACAATCACAGTCTGCTTAAACTAATAACACACAAAGAATGAAATGTTGCCATGTTTTTATTGAACACACCATGTAAACATTCAAAGTGCAGGTGGAAAAAGTATGTGAACCCTTGGATTTAATAACTGGTTGAACCTCCTTTGGCAGCAATAACTTCAACCAAACATTTCCTGTAGTTGCAGATCAGACGTGCACAACGGTCAGGAGTAATTCTTGACCATTCCTCTTTACAGAACTGTTTCAGTTCAGCAATATTCTTGGGATGTCTGGTGTGAATCGCTTTCTTGAGGTCATGCCACAGCATCTCAATCGGGTTGAGGTCAGGACTCTGACTGGGCCACTTCAGAAGGCGTATTTTCTTCTGTTTAAGCCATTCTGTTGTTGATTTACTTCTATGTTTTGGGTCATTGTCCTGTTGCAACACCCATCTTCTGTTGAGCTTCAGCTGGTAGACAGATGGCCTTAAGTTCTCCTGCAAAATGTCTTGATAAACTTGGGAATTGATTTTTCCTTCGATGATAGCAATCCGTCCAGGCCCTGATGCAGCAAAGCAGCGCCAAACCATGATGCCCCCACCACCATACTTCACAGTTGGGATGAGGTTTTGATGTTGGTGTGCTGTGCCTTTTTTTTCGCCACACATAGTGTTGTGTGTTTCTTCCAAACAACTCAACTTTGGTTTCATCTGTCCACAGAATATTTTGCCAGTACTGCTGTGGAACATCCAGGTGCTCTTGTGCAAACTGTAAACGTGCAGCAATGTTTTGTTTGGACAGCAGTGGCTTCCTCTGTGGTATCCTCCCATGAAATCCATTCTTGTTTAGTGTTTTACGTATTGTAGATTCGCTAACAGGGATGTTAGCATTTGCCAGTGACTTTTGTAAGTCTTTAGCTGACACTCTAGGATTCTTCTTCACCTCATTGAGCAGTCTGCGCTGTGCTCTTGCAGTCATCTTTACAGGACGGCCACTCCTAGGGAGAGTAGCAGCAGTGCTGAACTTTCTCCATTTATAGACAATTTGTCTTACCGTGGACTGATGAACAGCAAGGCTTTTGGAGATACTTTTATAACCCTTTCCAGCTTTATGCAAGTCAACAATTCTTAATCGTAGGTCTTCTGAGAGCTCTTTTGTGCGAGGCATCATTCACATCAGGCAATGCTTCTTGTGAAAAGCAAACCCAGAACTGGTGTGTGTTTTTTATAGGGCAGGGCAGCTGTAACCAACACCTCCAATCTCATCTCATTGATTGGACTCCAGTTGGCTGACATCTCACTCCAATTAGCTCTTGGAGATGTCATTAGTCTAGGGGTTCACATACTTTTTCCACCTGCACTGTGAATGTTTACATGGTGTGTTCAATAAAAACATGGCAACATTTCATTCTTTGTGTGTTATTAGTTTAAGCAGACTGTGATTGTCTGTTGTTGTGACTTAGATGATGATCAGATCACATTTTATGACCAATTTGTGCAGAAATCCATATCATTCCAAAGGGTTCACATACTTTTTTTCTTGCAACTGTAATATGAAACTTTCCTGAATGACCCAGTTAGGACCGTTTTGCTCAGGAACTATTTCCTGAACATTGTCTAAAATGTATAAGTACATAGACCAGTTAAAAATAAATAAAACAATTGAAATGGGTGTCACAGGGATCTCTGTTTAACGGGACAGTACCTAACAGCACTGCCCTGTCTATGTTCATAAACTGTGCTAGGTGCAGTAAGTATTAATTAATCAAATCATAATCATGTGCTAACAATTTGGTTAAAATTCAATTAGTTCAGGTAGACACTGGTAAGTCAATACTCACCCTATTTATGTATGTTGTGTGCTTTGGGTGAGAAAAGAGTAACAGTGCAGAGAACCCTCAGTGTCTTCTGGCCTTACAGGGGTCTGTGCCAGTAAACCCAGTGAACCAGTAGGGAGCCATTGACTCTCCAGTATCTCTTTAATCAATTTGTGGAGCGTGAGAGTTTAGGTGTAAATAGATACGGTCCTCTAAAAAAAAATAAAACAATATAAAGGTCTACGTTTGGCAGCAACTTTCTGCATTTATGGAACCTGTTTAAAAAAGGTTTATCCAAATAACATTAGTGAATATCCGGTTCCAATTGTAGGTCAGATTTGGGTATATTTTTATAATATTTGGAATCCTGAGGCAGGGTTGGAGCTTACTAGTTTGTCTTCGTTCTGGGTCAATGAGTTCTGCAGATAACTGTAACACTCTTAAGTTTGCTTCTTAGGAGATACTTTTTCCCCTTAGGGATACATGACGGAAATCTTCTGTCATGTCTATCTTTTACTTCTGAAACTGTGAACTTAAAGGGTTAGACTGGATTAAGTTTTTCCTATCATTTTATAAAGTCAGTTTGTTTGTTTTCATATTTTTTGGTTTCTTTGTTTGTTTCGATCTCTGCATTTCAACACATAACAAAATGTGGGAGCTTACGTGAGCATATGAGTGTGTCGCCAAACTCTGCCTTGCATAAAAGATTTTGGTTAAAAGAAATGCTGGTTAAAAGGTCATTAAATCTTTTAAGACAATAGAGTTCTAGTTAATTTTCCAAATTTCTTATAGATTATAAAAGATAAAATAAAACTTGAATCTTTGTTTACATTTGTTACTGTGACAACAGGCAGAATATCCAGAACATTTTTCTGGGCTGATAGCCACAAGATCTCCACCTTGGAAAAATTGATGTTATATCCAGAGAAAGCATGCTGGATCGGTTTGAGCCTCTTGACCATAAAAGTATGGTACTTTGACCTTGAGGTAATATTTGTGGATAATCTTTTCAAATGATTTATCTACAAAAAAATCCCATATTCTTTAATGGTGCCTTCTGTAGAAAAATAATTTGAAAAGTTTTTCTTATAAATTGGGATAATTTGAAAAGCTTATCCAAAAATATTAAACCGAGACCTTTGTCCTTACACACTATCAGATGAATATTTTTGTTTTGCATATAGATTAATTATCTTTGCCAAAGTCAGCAACAAGAAAGAGAAGATACCGGGCATCCTTGACATGTGTCAAACTAAAATTTGTCATCTGTAAATTTAGCTAATATGGCAACAAGAAAAGATAATTTTGGACTATTTTGATACTCATCCCTGACCTGATCCAGATCTTCAACTATTTGCTTAGTTTGCTGTGACAAACTAAATTGCAACATGCTGATAATTGTTGTTTACACAGTTGAATGGATGAATGGAAGCAGCAAGTTTATAAAGGAAATTGTGTTCGTACACGCAGTACCCACAAGGAATTCCTTAACCTCTGATTTTGTGTCATAACAACAAGTTCTTTTTGGCTAGATTTCAACAACTGTCGATTTCATGTACGTAACACAATGAGAATCTGAATGTGTCTTTTTCATTTTCCAGACTAGGTGGAGATTTGCATTTGTCCTTTGTGAAAAGATTTAATCAGAGTGTAATTTGAATGTTTGGAATGCACTTGGTCAGAGATAAAGTTGATAGCTTCCTCTACAAGAATAAAAAAAAATCTAAATGAGACAGACTGAAGCTTTGTATGGGAAGTGGCAAGGTTTTCTACAATTATGATGAAGAGCTTTAATGTATAATTAATATTGTACTTAACAAGCTGACAGACATTTCTTCAGTACTTCTGCAAGTCTTTTAAAAAGTTGGAATCATGTTACTGGCACTGTCCAAAGGGGGCTGATCCACCCATAAATGGGGCAGGTCTATCCAAAGAATTAACAAGTCAGCCTGGCCTGAATAGACTCCAGGCTAAATGGCAATCATACAGGTAAACCCACTGAGGGTTCTCTGCAGGGTCCTAGTACATCTAATAATGCTCTTGTGCTAACCTTTTTTGGGACAGTTTCTTGGTGTCCCCAAAAGCGGTACACCTGGGAACAAAGTCAGGACGATGGGACAGGACCACAAACCAGGACAGTCCTGCCGAAATCGGGATGGTTGGAAGGCATGGATATGTACAGGGCCTTTGATAAATCCTAGATTATTCATTGTCCTCCTGTGTGTCCGATGCCTAGTGAACCAGTACTTGGGGGGGTGGTCAATGCTAACTAAACTGGATAAAAACAGCACCTGCCTACCCAGACAGCAGGTGCCTACTCTTCCAAAATATTTCTTATTCCTGGCAGTGAGGAATGCATGGAGTACTGTACTTACTGTACTCCCTCTGCACAGCAGCCCAGATATGACTTTGTCACGGCATCACCACAGGGCGCACGTGGGAGCTGTGCAGGAAGAGCACAGTGATCCCATCCCAGCAGCAACCACTGGCTACCAGGGAGAAAATGATTACATAATTTGAACTTTTTGCTATCAATTTTGCTATCTAAATAAAACTACTGCTATTTTATGTTCACTATGAATTTAGCGTTTCCGGTTCTCCGTGTTAATAGTGGACGCAAGTAGCAACACCCGGTGGACCTGAGGTGCGAAGTCAAAGCATTCTAAAACAGTTTGACTCCTTACAGAAGTGCACCATTACCACTGCAGGGCACTGTAGTATTTTTTTATCCTTGGAGTGTTCCTTCTTCTTTGCCAACTTCCACCTTGATATTGTGGTGGATATTTCGTTGTTCCAAAAGGACCTACATGGAAAAAAAGACATTAAATAAATAAACAAACCAATAAAACGCCCACTGGCTCTCACACACGTCTTGCTTTTAGTTTCAGTGTATCCTGGAGCTGGGATTATAAACAAGGAGGGGGAGTTTATATGAGAGCAATAAAGCTTAGTTCTTCACTAAGGTTTTAAGTAAAATGTCTTTATGCTTTATTGCTGGGTGTTAATGTAAATAAAATTGACCTTTTGTTGTGTAATCACTCTGATGTAAGTTTGTTTGCGCACAGCACGGTTATATCTGTTTGCCGTCTGTGATGTAACATCATGTAATGTGTCGGTGCTCTCTATATATAGTTAGATATATATTGTTATTGCCATTTATATAGCGCCAACAGATTCCGTTGCGCTTTACAACATTATGAGAGGGGGGCGTTTAACTATAAATAGGACAATTACAAGAAAACTTACAGGTAGGTTGAAGAGGACCCTGCACAAATGAGCTTACATATAGAAAAAGAACAATAAACTGCCTTAGTTAGATAGATTTTCCATGTGTCAAAATATAGATCAATCACTCAAAATAGTCCATTGGTTTCCATAGTGACTGCTCTACTTTTACAACTTGCTTTTGACACGCAAAACCCATTAATATTGAAGGCAGGCAGGTTGACATTTTTTGCATAAAAATATTTTGAAAGGGACACAACAGGTATCCAAATGTTAGGGGCAATGAGTGGGTTAGGTTGCAGCTATTTATCAGTTTGTAAGTTCAAGGTTATTGTTTTTTCTATAAGTAACCCTCTAAGCTCCAAAAGCACTATACCTTCATTTTCTCGGACAATGTTAAATATTGCTGTTTCTCTGAAACAGCAGTGTTTATATTTGGCTTTTTTGTAGCTGTCAGACAGATAACCACTAGACTAGAGGCTCTTTCTTTTTCCAATTTTGCACAGCATGATGAAACCAAATCATCTTCACTAATCTCTGTACCACCTCTAATCTCTCCAATGTTCCATTTCCTCTATCTGACCACCATCTGCTGTCCATTGACATCAGGATCCCCCACACCCAAAGTACACCACCCTCACCACATCAGTCTTGCAGAAACCTCCATTGTCTTGACTTCTCCACAAACCTCCAAAGTCTCCTTTCACCCATCTCAAATCTCACCTGCCCTAACACTGCAACCTCCCTCTACAAGTCCACTCTCTCCTCTCAACTAGACATTATGGAACCTCCTACACTTAAACGCACTAAGCCCCTCCAATTACAACCCTGGCACACCAAGCTTACCCGATACCTCCAAAAATGTTCCAGAACTGCTGAACACTTCTGGAGAAAGTCTCACTCTGCGTCTGACTTCCTTTACTATAAATTTATGCTGCGCTCCTACAGTCTGGCTCTTTCCTCTTCAAAACGAAACTACTTCAATATACTCATAACCACACTCTCCCGTGAGTCCAAACAACTGTTTCATGCTTTTAACTCTCTTCTGCGCCCTGTCGTACCTCCACCTCCTCCTCCTACCAACTTGACTGCCACAAACGTTGCAATTCACTTTACTGAGAAGATTTCTACAATCAGTGAAGAGATCTCTCATCTTTCTCCATCCACTATCAACCTTTTCCCCTAACCACACTCCCTGCGCTGTCCTATGCTCATTTTCACCCACAACAGCAGAAGAGGTTTCCCCTCTGCTCCGTTCCTCCCGCCCCACCACCTATTACCTCGATCCTATTCCCTCGTATCTCATCCGGACTTTGTCTCCTTCTCTTGCTCTGCCTCTCACTAAAATTTTCAATCTCTCCCTCTCCTCTGGCACATTTCCTCTACCCTTCAAACATGCAACTGTAACACCGATTCTGAAAAAGCCCAACCTTGACCCTAATTCCCCATCCAACTACTGCCCTATCTCGCTATTGCCGTTTGTCTCCAAGATCCTTGAGAGAGTTGTGTATGCGAGATTGACAGACTTCCTTGAGTCCAACTCTCTGTTTGACCCACTTTTATCTGGATTCCGCGCTCATCACTCTATTGAAACAGCTGTGACCAAAATATCCAATGATCTTATCACTGCAAAATCCCATGGCCCCTATATCCTAATTCTCCTTGACCTTTCTGCTGCTTTTGACACTGTTGATCATCAACAGCTTCTTCTCATTCTCCGTAATTTCACTGTCTCCCGGTGCTCTTTCTACCTCTCCCAGCACTCATTCAGTGTTTCTCTCTCTTGCTCTGCCTCTTCTCCCCAATCCCTCTCTGTTGGTGTTCCCCAAGCGTCTGTCCTTGGTCCCCTATTGTTCTCAATCTACACTGCCTCCCTTGGTAAACTCCCTCCCTGCACCCCGATTCAGCTCCTGCAACTGTCATCAAAACAAAACACTAAGTCCTCAATGAACACTATCCTAGCAACCTACCTTTCTACCCTACCTTTACCTCTTGTGTCACTATACCCCACTCCCTCTATCATGTAAGCTCATCGAGCAGGGCCCTCAATTCTTCTGTTCCTGTGCGTCCAGCTCGTCTAGTTACAGTTATGTGTCTGTTAGTTCACCCATTGTACAGCGCTATGGAACTTGTTGGCGCTTGATAAATAATAATAATAATAATAATACTTGTCACAGAAAAGTACTGGAAAAAAACTTATTTATTTATTTTTATTTTTATACATTAAAAAATTAACTTTCTAACAGTAATAATATAGTTTATTTTAATGTTAGAATGTTCCTTTTATTTTGAAACTACATTGATTTTTTTTGTTATATAGGCCCATATTTTGTGCCCCTCATTTCCAACCTGCAGTTTTTTCGTTTTGCTCAGATCCTGCTGCTGTACGTGATGTCATCTCTTTCAGAGTGTTGTAGTTCCGCATCTAGAACACTAACAATTGTTCTCCAACTCCTACAAAATCTTGTTGTTCCCAAGGAATATGATTTGCGTAGGTCAGGGCCCACTTCACCTACTGAATCTGTGAACATAGCTTTATCGGTCAGTGACGTGTAGTATATAAACAGGAATAATATTAACGATAATAATAAATCTCGGCTTTTCGGATAAGCTCAGCAGTGCTATAGGAAGTCAGCAGGCCTGACTGAGGCACATTCAGATTTGGTTAAAAACTCACTGCAGATCTTGCAAAGACTGGATATTTGCAGCAAATGCAGGACCAGTAAATCTCATTTATAATTCACTGTTTTGCATGCATTTGTTAATACTGTTTCGATATAACACATTGCAAATAGAATGGGTTACCCCCACCCTGTAGTGCCTGTTTCTAAATCTCATTTAAACCTTTTAGACTAACAAGCCCAATCTCGAAGATCCAGTTGATTATTAATATGTATTTAGCTGACAGACACCATTTGAAGGTTTCGTAATAATTTAGATATTTTATAATCTTGTTTAAATACATGCGCTCCTCGCAGTAAAATGCAGAATAGGAGATAAGATACTCTGCAACGTATTATTTGGTTTAGATTATATGACTTGTCTACAGTTTATTATAATTTAGCCAAAGCAAACATTCTCCTTATGTCATTGACAGCTGATATTTAACATATAAAATGTATTTAAGCTTTTCTTTCCCCTTTTTTTTTTAATAGCAAAAATGCATTTTTTAAATTTGCTATGTTAAATGAAGGGATATATAACACATTTTAGAACTGAAGCGATCACCATGGAAACCAACGGAATGAGCCTGCTGATTGATCCACCAGTTTTTCAAAATAACAGGGGAGACGCTTCTACCAGCACTTCAGGAACCGTAACAGATCGGAAAAGTGAGCTCTCAATGAATGATAACTGCATTAAGCACTGGGCCCGATACCCATTCTGTAACAGGGAACTACATCATCCAGCTATAGTGTGAAACATAGAAATATTAGACTTGGAAAATAATTATTATAATCATAGTAAAAATGCGGATTATTCGATAATATGTGCAAACATAGCTTTCCGACTTATATAAAAGTGAGAATTCATCAAAAGTCCTGAACCCAAAATATGTTCTGATCTGTAGCTACAATAACACAAAGAAAAAGGTTTTATGAAATGTATATTTTTTATTGTTGAACCCTGTTTGATCTTGAGATTTGCCTCTGTTGTTGTGATTGTTCTATGCTTTTGATTTTCTGATTTGTTCTGAATATTCTTCTTAAATAAATGTATTAAAAAAACAGATATCATTTAAAGGAACACTCCAAGCACCCTAAAACAATGTAGCCTGCTGAAGTGGTTATGGTGCAATGAGTGTCTTGGCACTGTGCTACGGTAAGATATCAGACAGTTTTGGTATGGTTTGATGACTTACCTGGGTCCCGCATCTGCCACATCTGGTTTTATTCAAAAAGGAGAATCTAGATGTTTCTGTAGATTAAAGCAGTGCCGATGGCGGACCGCGCTCAGGGAAAGCGCCCAGCTGACAAATTAGCAAAAACATATGGTAGATCTATTGGATAGGTTTTCACATTTACGTACAACTAAATTTTTTTTTTGTATTAAGATAAAAAGCATTCCAGTTTAAAATACCTACCACAATATGATTAAAGATTGCCATGACCCTACACTAATTGGTTAATTTAGTAAACTGCAAATGAGGCTAAATCAGGCAAAGTGAGATTGTATCCAAGTTGAAGAATTTTCCCATCTGTGCTACATTTGCCTAAATTCAGATTTCAATGAACCGCAAGTCACTGTTTATTGGACAAGCCTCTAATAAAATACATCAGGTTAAGTGCACAGTTGGCAAGTAAAATGTGTTTGCTATACTTTAGATACTTTATATGAAACACAATGGTGGCAGGAAATATTTTATCTAAAAGGTGCTTAAGGGACATTTTTCTTTTAATAAGTCTATGTATAGTTTAATCTGAACTTTTGTGGTTTTATCAGATTAGCTGGTAAGAAAATCATATTTTATTTAATAGCATTTATGTGATGTTGAGCATCCCTTGTTTAATACCAAAAAAAAACAAACCTACAAAAGAATAATCAGAAGAATTAAACGAAACACTACGATCTTAATAACAACTTAATTGAAGTTAAGTTGTTATGATGCAAGAAGGCCCCCGGGCGCTTTTGTACCTGAAAGGGTTAAATCATTCTTTAACAGTTTAAACTCAAAGGTTACCTCCAGTGCCGGATCTGTTCTTCGCAAGCGGCAACCAGCTTCTGAAACTGACTTTTAGGAGACGCGGAGTGCTGCCAGGCAAGGGCGCTGCTGATTGGCTTAAAGCATTAGCTGACTGTTCTAGCCAATCAGTTGCACAACTGAAAGTAAATTTCAGAAGCTGGATGCCGCTCGGGGAACTGCAAATCTGGAGAAAACCTTTTTGGCTTAAACCGTAGGAGAATGGTTTAACGCCATCAGCGTTGGCTGACATGCTAAGTAAACCTGTAGATCCCCATTCATAAAAATGACCGGAGAATTTTTTTTTCAATTTCTCAAGCCGTTTTGTGAATGGGGAGTTACTGATGACTTAAAGCAGGCTTCACCAAACTCCGGCCCTCCAGATATTGCTGAACTACAACTCCCATGATTCAATAAATGAAATAGGCAGAAAATTATGGGAGTTGTAGTTCAGCAACATCTGGAGGGCCAGAGTTTGGGGAAGCCTGACTTAGAGTGTCAGTTGAAGAGATCTTGGGCAGTCAGTGACACTCCTGTCCGAGACTGTGTGAGGCTTCCTGCTTGAAGAATGGGAGTGAGCGCAGGACTTATCTTTCTGCATTTGTATCCATTTTTTGTATCACTCAGCCTTGTTACAATGCAGCCGCCCATCCCATGTGTTCCCTATTAAGGGTTAATAATATATAGGGGTGTATATAAAAAATACCCCTTTCTGTCTCAGTAGAGATTTTTGCCAGAGACTCAAGGAAGCAAGGCGAATGGCTAGAGTTAGGACCCACCTAGGGGGGGTCTGCCTTGACGTTGGCAGGTGGGCTCATCCTCTCATGGCCATTGGAGGTAACTAAAAAACCTCCATTTGTTTAAAAATACATAGGGATTAAGGAGAGAGCGCAGGTAACTTGTTTTTCTTTGCTTTTTACTATATATTGGGGCTGATGTGTACTGTAGTCATTGCTGCCGCCCAGTGAATGGGAGTGAACGCAGGACTTATCTTTCTGCATTTGAAGAATCTGAGAGAAACAGATGGGATGAGCTAAACAGCACTGGATACAAGAGTTTAGGGTTAAACTGTTCATTAAGTTGTTATGGTGCCCTTCTGTTCCTTTAAGGTCGAAATAGAAAAATTCCCAGCTATGTTTCTATTTTAGCTATTGTGACTTTAAATTTGAAATTCTCTTTGAATTCATTGAAAAAAATCTGAAAACTGTAGCAGGACACCGGGTAACCTGACCGGTTACCACCGCTGTAAAAGAATTGAGCGACCCATCTTCCCCTCAATAACTGGGCGACACACAGTTACAGGGGTACAACAACCACTTTATTAGCCACAGGCGGCTTTATACTTTCCCCATGCAAGGAGTGGCACACACATGATGACAATGTCCCGTCCCAGGATCCTCCCCCTTCCCGGGGCTCGCACAATGGAACCGGAATCCCAGTGTCTTTGGCCCTTGTTCCCGACACTCAGTGTCCCCTCCCCGGGTCCTCCCCCTCCCAGGGATCTATGCGTGGGACAGGAACTCCAGTCTCTTTGTCCCCAGTTCCCGCCACACAAACATGGGGTTTCCCACTTATCAGGGGGTCTTCTTCCCAGGACCCTCTGTACCTGGGAGTCCCAGCGCGGGAAAGAGTCACGCCTCCTGAGCTCCTAGGCCCAGAAAGCCTGCCAAACAGCCGTTGTCCCCAAGAGAGTGTCCCTACCAATCTCAGGGATCTCCCAAAAGGGTAACTGTCTCCGTTCATGGGATCCCTGGGTGAAACCAGGCAAGAGAAGCGTCCTCATTTGGTACACAAATGCTCCCCCTGGCAGCTGTCCGTCTATACGAACTGTGGCCACCCAGGGAAGAACTCATTAATTACTTCCCTTGCGGTTTCACACTTATGTTGCAAACTGCCAATGTTCTAATTGATTGGTGTGAACACTCCAAGGAGCACTGGGGAAGTCCCCGTTCGGTTACCAAACGGGTGGGAAGCAATCCGCAAATGCTCCCCCTGGTTGGCGTTCGTCTAACAAACGGGACGCCACCCTTGGTCGGCAAGCACCGGGGCTTCCTTTGCGGTTTTCACACTTCAACTAGGTATGAGTATTCTAACGAGGTGTGAAAGTTCTGAACAAATATTTTAAATGGAGTATCGAGGTGGTCCCAGTTCGGGAAGCGAACGGAACTCATTTGCACTGGGACTCCAACGGGGAGGAGGCAAAACACACAAATACACATAGTTATATGGGAAAACACGGGGCTGTAACACAGCAATTCACTAGAAGGTAGCGGTCCAGTCACAAAAACTTTTATTTTTTTTATTTTGTTGTCATCAGCATCAGAGCCAGGAATCAGAACAGACTTGGGTTCAGGCTGTTCAATGAATATGGGCTGTAGGTTATAGTACTTGGAATGCTCCACTAATATGTTTTAATATGAAATAATTAACTATGTCTACCAGTTTCTGAGGCCAGGCTGGGAAACAGATGGGAGATATAAATAGGCGCAGGGTTGATTTTTCTCGGGCATGCAGGATTCTGGCTGCTAGAACAGGCTGGTAAAACAGAATGCAGAGAATAGATGTGGGCCAGGCGGACAGCCGTGTGCTGGTCTGGAAGTAGGAGTTAGGAAGATACAGACACGGAGGCCGTGATGGTATTACAGGACAGGATGCAGAGGGTAATGACAGTAGAGGTCAGAAACAGGTGGCAGTGTCAGGGTTAATGGGTAGTGAGCAATGAGAGTATTAGTGCATAGCGGGAGTCAGGCATAGTGAGTAATGACAGTATTAGTGGCTAGTGGGAGTCAGGCACAGTGAGTAATGACAGTATTAGTGGCTAGTGGGAGTCAGGCACAGTGAGTAATGACAGTATTAGTGGCTAGTGGGAGTCAGGGCACAGTGAGTAATGACAGTATTAGTGGCTAGTGGGAGTCAGGGCACAGTGAGTAATGACAGTATTAGTGGCTAGTGGGAGTCAGGGCACAGTGAGTAATGACAGTATTAGTGGCTAGTGGGAGTCAGGCACAGTGAGTAATGACAGTATTAGTGGCTAGTGGGAGTCAGGGCACAGTGAGTAATGACAGTATTAGTGGCTAGTGGGAGTCAGGGCACAGTGAGTAATGACAGTATTAGTGGCTAGTGGGAGTCAGGGCACAGTGAGTAATGAAAGTATTAGTGGATTGTGGGAGTCAGGATGGTTTGGTTAATGAGAGTATTAGTGGCTAGTGGGAGTCAGGCACAGTGAGTAATGAAAGTATTAGTGGCTAGTGGGAGTCAGGCACATTGAGTAATGAAAGTATTAGTGGATTGTGGAATTCAGGATAGATTGGGTAGTGAGAGTGTTAGTGGATAGTGGGAGTCAGGGCACAGTGAGTAATGAGAGTATTAATGAGTAGTTGGAGTCAGGATACACTGCGCAGTGAGCGTATTAGTGAATAGTGGGAGTTGAGATAGAGTAGGTAATGAGAGTATTAGTGGCTGGTGGGAGTCAAGATGCAGTAGGCTATGAGATTATTAGTGGATAGTTGTAGTATTAGTGAATAGTGGGAGTTGGAATAGAGTAGGTAATGAGAGTATTAGTGGCTGGTGGGAGTCAAGATGCAGTAGATTATGAGATTATTAGTGGATAGTTGTAGTATTAGTGTATAGGGGTAGTATTTTTGGATAGTTGTAGTATTAGTGGATAGTGGTAGTATTAGTGGATAGAGGGATTTAGGATAGAGTGGGCAATGAGTATTAGTGGACAGTGGGAGTCAGGAAGGAGAGAGCAATGGACGTACTAGTGTATAGTGAGATACGCGTGATAGTAAGTATGGAGCGAACAAATTAATGCGTAGTCTGTTTAGTTAATGAACATCTAAGGGTGTTAAAAGATACACGATTTAAAAAAATAAATAAACCATGAAATTAGCAGATTGTTATAAAAAAGTGTGCAATAAAACAAATCTATTAATGAGTCACTATGAACCAGGCATACAACCTGCAGCTCTGCTAACGTGTCCTGTGATAAAAAATTATCTCCTCTGTTTATTCTGCGCAGATGATCGCGCTCATTGATTTGGCAAACGCTCATGTGATACGAAGCACAAGACAGCTATCGTTCTCTACTTTGTGAAGCAAAAATAAAACACACACACACACACACAGCGGCTGCCAGTTTCTCATTGGTGACATTAAAGAGTACGGAACTTGGCAGTTTGATGCCTACCTCCAACCCTGGCACAGGCGACGGAGCAGATGAGATTAATTTTCCATATCATCATCGATTTAGGCGGATCATAGTCATCTTCAACTTTTTTAGTTTGAAGAACCGACTCAATTAAAATGGTATTACACACGCTTACCACAATGTTTGTGTATTATTGTGTGATGTCTCTCTATGTGCTCTCAACAAAACATATCAACAGGAAGAGGTTTGATTTAGTCAATAATTACACAGTCCTGTTATCTCCTGAATGCCAGTCTTGGGAGTTTTAGTATTTTGCCAGTTTAAACCTATGCCTGCCCATTGCTTAAAGGTCAGAGCTACGGATGCTCAAGGTGAGATGGCATTGGTGATGGGCACCAACTTACCTTTCTAAGGCGAAGGCTTGTGGGAGTTTGGAAATCTACTGTAACAAAAGTTACGCAGACTACAGTGATGGCATGCATCCAAAGACAGATTGGCACTCAGGCATGTCTCCCTCCCACCGATTAACCAAAGACCTTTAATTTCCTAGAACAAAACCACATATTCAGTCTTTTTATTTTCCATCCATTACCTACGTCATACACGCACAAAGAAACAGGCATTAAACAGCAACATGTTAATATGTTTCTAGGAGCCATAAAAAAACCCAAAAAGGCAGAATAAAAAGTGTGATGGTGTACAACAGGGGATAGTCAAAAGGATTCTCTCTTTCTGGGATCATGGGAATAATAGTTCCCCGACAAGGAGGACACTACCTCTCGGTTATGCCTGGGAGACAGTTCCTGTATAAGGATGTACACATTACAATAGTCTCACCATACCTCTTATAATTGCCAATGACCAGATGGGAAAAATGGGACTTATGTTAGTAACCACGCTCATATGTGACACACGCTCGTAGAACATCAAATATTCATTTTGGCCAATGAAAAAATTTGTACAAAAAGTCAGACTCTGGACCTGGATCAATACTGCATATCTTTATTCAGTGCTTAAGACTTATTACAGACTTACTCATAAAAAAATGTTCAGACTTAAAAACCCAAGAAAAAAAACAAATTCCTGATTTTGTAGCCACAAATAAATGTCAAAAACTCTGCAGGACTTGAGCCGGACCTCGTTGATCAGCTGCCGCGCAGTCAGTCTTTTGGCGGGACACTAATGGCATAAGAGCAATACTCTGAAAGTCTTTTGTTAGGAAGCAATGATTAATGGAGCTTTGGGGTTCTACCGACACAGGGATTTTAAAATGACTGACTGACTGTGTACAACATCTACAGACAAGTTAGAGCCAATGGGTTCACACAAACAATTTTGACCAACATATACAGCAATGTGGCCCATTTTATTCAAAATGGTAGCCACTCTAAATGAGGCAGCAACGTGCATAATGGTTTTAGGAAAAGGGAAATGGCTTCAGTGCATCAATATGGAGGCATTTAAAATAGCGGAGAAGGCGCAAAAGGCATTAACAGTGCAAAGAAAAATGGCGCAAGGCTTCAAAGGTTATCCATTGTGTTAAAAATGGCAGAGCATTTTTGGGGTAGGAGAGGTGCAGCGAGCCCAGAAAATGTAGATCACTTCATAAAGGAGAGACATCCAAACATCAGAGATAAGTAGTGTTCAAAATGGTGTATGGCTCATATGACATCTTTGTTTAAAATGGCTGACTCCCATCAAGTGGCAAGACTGACTAATTTATCTTTTGTTCAAAAAACAAAAAGTGCATGAATTTGTGAAGGTGACATAGGTCAATTACAAAGGATTGGATGGCATCCAACAAAATAAATAATCCCAGCACACCATAGACGGTTATTTCAAAATAAATTGTGGGCTCTGTTTTGATTTAAAAAAAAAAAAAAAAAAATACAAAAAATATATATATATATATTAAATACATTTACAGGTGCCAAACTTAAAATACAGTGTTACAATGACATGCAGCAGCACAGGCCGCAGCCTTTCGAACCTCACTGCTAACTCTCTTTTAGCAGAGGGTCATGCAATATCAATTAGTTAAAAATGACCAATCTCGTATGCTCCAGTCTACAAGAGTATTCACTCTGGCTCAAAATGGCGGATGCTCATGAGAGATTAGTGTTTAAAAATGTCCGACATCTACACATGTTCTTACCAACAAACATTGTCGCAACATACTTAATAGGGTTTCTTAACAGAAACTTAATAAAACCATTACTAAGTCCATCCCGAATAGTAGTGGAGGACTAATCTATTAACCTGTTTAAAAACGAAGAATGGTTCCGGGTATATCCATTAGTGTTTGAAACTGCAGACATTATCACAAGCGCAAACAACAAGCGCTGATGTAACCAGTACCATCTAAAATCAAAGTTACCATAAGTGACCCCATTTCAAAATGGCAGAAGGTTAAAGGCAAATGCTTTAGTGTTCACAACGGTTTCACCCTCCTGGCTATAGCATTGAAGCATTTGTATAATTACACTTTAGCCTAGAATGGCACATAATTTAAGGGTTACCCATTTCAAATTGGCCTCTCACAGGAGGCTTTGGCATGGCTGACTCGATCTTGACACCAGTCATACAGTCAGTCAGAATGTCTGTTCAGAAAAGATGCTTTCTCTTTCAGAAACTCTGTCTTTTAGCCAGGTCTTGGGCATCGGCAACTCTTCCCCCAGATTGCCAAATTGGAATCCCTTTCAGCAAGATCCATTGGGTGGATGTAGCATGCTCTGATAGAGATCAGAGCGTAAGAAGCGTGGGTATGAATCGCGCTCCATAAGGCCGTAAATCCTACGCTGGGCTTCATCAAAGGTTGTGCGTGTGGGGAGTAGGAGGTTATGTTCTGTTAACTCTCTAGTCCTGGCATCTAGGTTTACCTATAGTGGAGAAGGATGAATGATTAATGCAATTTATTTAACAAAAAATGTAAGAGGAAGGCTTTGTGTGAGAGTCTACAGAACAGGCCAAATGTTGGTAAATATTAGACTTGCAAGAGGCGATTTGCAGATGGTATAATACAGGGAGCTAGAGAGTACTTTGAATACATATCCCAGAATGAAGATTCTTCACAGGGGTGGTTGGGGGAGATGCTGATTGAATTGGCTAGGCAACCTTCATGGATAGGCAACCTTTGGCATGCCAGATGTTGTGGACTACATCTTCCCTGAAGGTTGCCCAACTCTGAAGTTAGATCAATACTTCTGAAACCAGTCTGAAAGGACTATTAACAGTCCATATTTTGTTAATATCCCCATTAGAAGACAACTAGGTAGACCCACATTTCTGGACTGTTGGTAATTCTTCATAACTGGTTTATTACCGCAGTTGAAGTTGTTTTACCTTTGTTTTCTTTATCTACCCTCTCCCCTCTTACATTTTTGTTTTCTGTTCCCTTGTCCCTTCATTTTATAATAAAAATTATATAAAATACAAATAAAAAGAAATGTTTCAAAACCAGAAGGCAAGGCTAGGTGAAAATTTGTGAGGGACACAAGAAGATTTCCATTGATATAAAACTACTCCACCCATTGATGGATTCCAGTTGGCTACAGGAGTATTAAGCACAAAGGAACGGATTTACAGCGTGCTAGGTACAATCAGGGGCGTTCTAGCCGCGAGGCAAACAAGGCATTTGCCTTGGGCGGCATTTTTCAGGGGGCGGCAAAAACGCCGCCCCCAAATGCCCAGGGCAAATGCCTTGTTAGCCTTGCGGCTAACTGACCGGCTGGGCTGGCGGGCGGCGCTGGCAGGCGGGCGGCTGGCAAGGGAGCTCTTCCCCTGAGCTATCCGCTCAGCTCCCTCGCGCGCCGCAGAGTGAGGCTGGGAGCCGGAATATGACGTCATCTTCCGGCTCCCAGCCTCACTTTGCGGCGCGCGAGGGAGCTGAGCAGACCGCTCAGGGGAAGAGCTCCCTCGTCAGCCGCCTGCCCAGCCGGCAACCACTGGACCACCAGGGAGGTAATGAACCCCCCTGCCCCCCAGCACTCCCAAAGGTAAGGGGGGGGGGGTAAATAAAAAAATAAATAAAAAAAAATGTGTTAATGTGAGTGAGTGTGTGTGTGTGTCTGTTAGTGTGTGTCTGTTAGTGTGTGTCTGTTAGTGTGTGTCTGTGTGTGTCTGACTGTGTGTGTCTGTTAGTGTGTGTCTGACTGTGTGTGTCTGTTAGTGTGTGTCTGTGTGTGTCTGACTCTGTGTGTCTGTTAGTGTGTGTCTGACTGTGTGTGTCTGACTGTGTGTGTCTGACTGTGTGTGTCTGACTGTGTGTGTCTGTTAGTGTGTGTCTGTTAGTGTGTGTCTGTTAGTGTGTGTCTGTTAGTGTGTGTCTGTCTGTTAGTGTGTGTCTGACTGTGTGTGTCTGTTAGTGTGTATGTGTGTGTCTGAGTGTGTGTTTGCCTGTGAGTGTGTGTGTCTGTTAGTGTGTATGTGTGTGTCTGACTGTGTATCAGTGAGTGTGTGTTTGCCAGTGAGTGTGTGTGTGTGTGTCTGTTAGTGTGTGTGTCTGTTAGTGTGTGTGTATTTGCCTGTGAGTGTGTGTCTGTTAATGTGTGTGTGTCTGTTAGTGTGTGTGTATTTGCCTGTGAGTGTGTGTCTGTTAATGTGTGTGTGTTTGTTATTGTGTGTGTCTGTTAGTGTGTGTCTGACTGTGTGTGTCTGTGTGTGTCTGACTGTGTGTGTCTGACTGTTAGTGTGTGTCTGACTGTGTGTGTCTGACTGTTAGTGTGTGTCTGACTGTGTGTGTCTGACTGTTAGTGTGTGTCTGACTGTGTGTGTCTGACTGTGTGTGTCTGACTGTGTGTGTCTGACTGTGTGTGTCTGTCTTAGTGTGTGTCTGTCTTAGTGTGTGTCTGACTGTGTCTGTTAGTGTGTATGTGTGTGTCTGACTGTGTGTCAATGAGTGTGTGTTTGCCTGTGAGTGTGTGTGTCTGTTAGTGTGTATGTGTGTGTCTGACTGTATGTCAGTGAGTGTGTGTTTGCCTGCGAGTGTGTGTGTGTGTCTGTTAGTGTGTGTATGTGTGTATTTGCCTGTCAGTGAGTGTGTGTCTGTTAATGTGTGTGTGTTTGTTAGTGTGTGTGTGTCTGCTAGTGAGTGAGTGTGTGTCTTACTGTGTTTGTCTGTTAGTGTGTATGTGTGTGTCTGACTGTGTGTCAGTGAGTGTGTGTGTGTCTGACTGTGTTTGCCTGTGAGTGTGTGTCTGTTAGTGAGTGTGAGTGTGTCTGTTAGTGTGTGTGTGTTTCTGTTAGCGAGTGTATGCGTATCTGTCAGTGAATGTATGTGTGTGTGTGTATTTAGAAGGCGGGTTGGGAGGAGGGGGAGGGAGGGGCGCGCCTGAGTTTTGTCCTGCCTAGGGCAGCACAAAACCAGGATACACCACTGGGTACAATATGCCCTTCGTTGATTGTAAGTACAAGAAATCATAGAACACATTGATCATGGTTTGATGTAAAGACCAGAGATTCTTTCCTCCAGTTTTAAACCCCAGCCATGCAATG